CCCCCACCGCCACCCCCGCTCTGCCCCTCACCCACCTCTCGTTCTTATCCGTGCGGATGCAGCCTTCAATGATCTCCTTCACCTCGGGCATCTTGACCTTGTAGAAGCTGTTGGGCTTTGTGCCCTGCCGGAAGGGGTTGCGTGAGACCTCAGGTCCTGTGCGGGACCCCCGGCTCTCGTCTCGGCACCCCAACTCCCTGAGCCACCCCCGCCTTGGGCCGCCGCGCGTGCAGTGGCAAAAGCACGACCACGAAGCCTGGAAGATTTGATTTCAAATCCCAGTGCCCCGAGCACTGGCAGCGCGACCCTGAGCAAGTCTCCGGCTGTTTTCTCATTTGGGAGTCGCAGGGTGGGACATCTGCCCCCTCACCTGGCGCTGGAAGGATCGGATGGAGGTTGGATGTGAAATCGGCTGTAAACTCTTGGAGGCACTACCTGTATTACTCTAAACAGTGTTCACCAGAGTAGGGTATGTGCGCCCCCAACATCCTTCAGCGTTCATGGAGACATCTTTGTGTCTAGCTTGTTTTTTCTTTCCTTCCTTCCTCCCTCCCTCCCTCCTTCCCTTCCTTCCTTTTTTTTTTTAGTAGGGGTCTCACTCTCTTGCTCAGGCTGGAGTGAGTGGCAGGATAATGGTTTTCAACCTTGACCTTCTGGGCTCAAGTGATCCTCCCACCTCAGTCTCAAGTAGCTGGGACTACAATCTGCTTTTTCTTTTGGTAGAGATGAGGTCTCGATATGTTGCCCAGGCTGGTCTTGAACTTGGCCTCAAGCGATCCTCCCTCCCCTGCCTCCCAAAGTGCTGGGATTACAGGTATGAGTCACTGCGCCTGGCTTAGCCTGTTTTCATTAAGGAAAAGGGTATTGCCCACCAGCTGGTTAGGCTTCCCCTAAGCCCACCCCTCTCACCGAAGTGACCTTGCGGTAGATTTGTGCGGCATTCTGGCACTCAGAGTATGGGTACTCCGAGGTGGCCATCTCCAGCATGCACATGCCAAACGCGTACACGTCCACAGCTTCATCGTACTTTTCCTCGTACATCTCCGGCGCCATGAATTCCGGGGTCCCTGTAGGATCCATGGCAAGGATCAGGCTGCTGAACATCTGGCCCCGTCCTTCCACTTAGGCTGTGGTGGGCTAGGAGCTGGGGGGCAAGCCTGTGAGTTCTGCCATGCAAGTGGCCAGTTCTAGCCCAGTGGCCAGCCCTAGCCCAGTGTGTGTGTTGTGGGGGGTGGGGGGTGCCATAGGTCTCCCCAGCTTCCCTGTGGACCTTAAAGGGTCCTGCTAGGGGGCAGGGGTCCCCAGGTTCTCTTTTTTTTTTTTGAGTTGGATTCGCACTCCATCGCCCAGGCTGGAGTGCAGTGGCGTGCTCACGGCCACCCCAGTGTTGACCTGCTGGGTTCTCGCGATCCTTCCACCTCAGCCTTCCAAGTAGCTGGAACTACAGGCACACGCTACCATGCCCAACTAATTTTTGATTTGCTGTAGAGACACAGTCTTGCCAAGTTGCCGGGGCTGGTCTCGAACCCCGTGGGTTTAGGCAATCCACATGCCTCGGCCTCCCAAAGTGCTGGGATTACAGGCTGAGCCACTGAGCCCGGCCCCCCAGGTTCTCTTCTGAGGTGGAGTGGAAGGAATGACAAGGGCCCTCCTGGGGGGACGCACCAATGACACTCTTGGCAAAGGAGGCACGCTTGAGTGTGGCTAGGCCCAGGTCCCCGATTTTGACGGAGCCCGTAGGACCTGTGATAAAGACGTTATCGCACTTGAGATCCCGGTGCAGGATGGGGGGTACCCGGCTGTGCAGGAAATGAAGTCCCCGAAGGATTTGGCGACTCCAGCGCTGAAGGACTCGCGGCTTCATCTCTCGGAACCGCTTCAGGTATCTGGGGGAAGGTGCATATCCAGGGTCCTGGGGGGGGGAAACTCTCCCACTGGGAAACTCCCCTCTCGCCTCAGGCCTGCCACCACCTTCCTATCTTCTGCGAGCATTCTCCTAGACTAGGTCCACGCCGCCCCCGGGGAGAAACTGAGTGGGGGAGGGGGGAGTGGTAGATACACAGGACCTTAAAAAGCTGGTCAGGAAGTAAACTGACAGATATGGCCTCAGCCAAGGTGCTGTGGGAGCACCGGAAGGAATGACTAATTGCCCCAAACTTGGGGGAAGGCTTTGCAAAGGAAATAACTTTTGTGTTGCCTCTTGAATGATGAGTAGGAGTTCATGGGTGAAAAGGGGAGGGGATGGAGACTTTCCAGGCAGCTGGGACGTCGTGCTCAAAGGCACAGAGACAGCAAGGGGCAGGGCAGGGTGGGAGGAGGTGGTGAATACTCCAACTCTCTGAACTTAGGCTGGATCCTAAGGACTTTGTGAGCAGGGCAGCCAGTGTGGACTTTATCCCAAGGGTCATGAGAAACCTTGAAGGGGTTTCCAGGAGGGAGATGACCATTTAGATTTTCAACAGGGAAAGATCCTCTAAGCTACAGAAAGACAGGATCACTCAGGGGGTAACAGAGCTGGGGAAGACGCCGTCAAGAGCAGCGAGGCACCTTCAAGGCGGGGTGTGGATGGGGCAGTGAAAGCCCAGTGGGGACACGCTAAGGTGGGACCCTGGGGGTGCAGGGTGGAGAGAGAGGAGGAGTCTGGGGAGACACCCAAGTTTTTGACTGGGGTACTGGGTGGACACTGCCATTCACTCCGGCGGAGACACAGACTGGGCAGGTGGGAGACAGTGAGCCTAGTCTTAGGCCTGGATGTAGGGTCAGAGAAACCTGGGAGAAGGTCAGGAAGCAGCGCACACACTCCAGCCCCCTCCCAACCCGCGCGCAGAGCTCACGTCTTGAGCGTGCCCGAGGTCATGAGTTCGGTGACCAGCACGATGCAGACCTGGCCCCTCAGCACCGACTTCCATGAGTCGTAGAAGCGGACGATGTTGGGGTGCTGCAGTGCCTTGAGCATCTCCACCTCCTCTGAGAAGCGCTGCCGCTCAGCTCGAGACAGTTTCCGAGTCTGTGGGATGGGGGTAGGGGTCACGTCACGCCCAGGACCCCCATGGAGAGGAGGGTGGGGTACCCAGAGTGGGGTTGGAGGAGGAGGTGAGGGTTGGAGCCCACGGATGAGGTTAGGTTGGTAGGATCACTCCCCCATAGGGCAGCAGACCCCCAAACTCTGTCAGCCACCTGGGGCTGTTCCAAGGACACACCTAACCTGGCCTGGGGCAGCCCCCTGGACCCCCCGCTGGACACAAGCGCCTTTATGCAGCCCAGTCTAGGAGCTTAGAGCTCAATAGTGCCTTTGTGGCCGGCCATTCGGCGGGAGGGGGCGCCCGGGGACTGGCAGTGGGCAGGCTGCAGGCGGGCAGCAGGAGACCGCAGGCAGGGAATTGGGGCCGGCAAGGGGGTTGGCCCCAGAAATTTGGAACTTCGAGATCCAGACTGAAGGCAGGAAGGCTGCAAAGGGAGTAACGGAGAAAGAGAGAAAAGATCCAGGACCAGGCGCCAGGAGACTGCCCCCCCATGGCTGTCCCGCCCCATCTCCTCTCCCTCCCCTCGTCCTCCCAGTTTGGCGGCCTCTCCTTGCCTGGCCTAGAGCCTGGGGCGCGGCACTGGCAGGCGCAAGGGGCAAGCCCTGTGCCAGGGCTGGAGCCGAGGGACCCTTCCCCTAATGCTGTCCCCCATCTGAATCTGAAGTTTTGGGCCCCACCCGTGAGTGGGGCGGGGCACTGGAAGGAAGGCCCCACAGGCTCAGTACTTTTAGGTCTGGGAAGGGAGAGCCCAGGTAGGCAGTGGGATGAGCAGCAGGACTGGACTCAGGCCAGGGCCGGAGCTGCCTGTCCCCGCCTCCCCGTGGCTGCGGAGAAGTCTAGAAGTCTGACTGCTTTAGAAAGGGCCTAGAGGGCCCCATTCTGCCACATTCTCTTCTGGAGGTGGAGGACCCTGGCCCAGCTCCTGGCCCTCCGCATCCTAGCCTCCTGGTTTGCAAAGGGTTTGGGGGGGGGAGGCAAGATGATCAGGGTCATAACCGAGGGTCTCAGGTCTTAGGAGAAAGAGAAAGAAAGAGATTGTGGGCACCCACCAGCAGGAAGCTGCTGGGGCCAGCACTCCAGATCTCAACTGGCTCTCCAATCCCACCTCCCATCCTGTTTTCCACCTCTCAGGGTGGAGTATGGAGACTTCAAAGTGAGAATGTTCATGACTGTGGGGGCATCACCTGCCTCGGTTTCTCCTTCTGCAGCCCAGAGTCAGCCAGATCATTCAGGGCAAGGACAGCAGGGGGGGTCTGGACATTGAACGGAAAATGCATCCTTCCTTGACGCTGTCCCCCCCCTCCATCTCCCATCCTAAGACCTCCAGGGACCCATCCCAAGGTGCCACCGAGGGGGCGCCCGCCCGCACCTGCAGCTCACACCAAGCCACCTCCACCGTGGTGTCGGTGTCTAGCCCTCGATACACCGTCTTGAAGGAGCCACGTCCAATCTCAATGTCAAACTTGAGGTAGCGACCGTCGGGGGACGTTGCCACAGCCTGGGTCTCCGTGTCCTCCTTTTCTTCC